AGGAAACATTGACCTATAATCTTTTTATTTAAAAAAAATTAAGCAATTATTTTTCATTATAAACTGAAAATTCCAGTCAATAGCTGTATTAGCAATCATAAAAAGTAACGTTTTAAGTCTAACTGCCCAATATTTATAATACTTCAGAAAATGAATATTAGATAAGACATGCAATTTGGTTCCATATGGTAAAAATGTAACATAATAGAGCATCTCTGAAATGATATAACCTGGAGAAAAGTTGTTAATATGATTAAATTCTACCCTGCATAACATACTCAGTAGATCACTATAAAAGATAACAGTGGAATATGCTTGATGATTAATTTCTGTACAACAGCTGTAGGCTTGAACCTGTAAAAACTAATTTAAGTATAAATATTAGCATCTCTACAAAGCAGTATCTCTTAAAATGGGTAAAATTAAACAGAGCAAGTACCAACAAGTTTGCAGGTATCAGAAAATCCTTTTTGATCATTTGTTTCATTTATGTTTTAGGCACCTACAAACTATACATGGATATCCAAATGGCAGCAGAACACTCTAATGTAAAGCCAAAATTTATGGGTATTTTTAAGAACCTGTTAACTTTTCCTAATAACCAGCTTGATATAATACAAAAACAATATCACTTTAAAGTACTGCAATGTTTAAGCCATCCTAATTCAATTTATTGTCTAAAATATGCACTGTACATAGCCATTAATCTCAAGGTGGCTCTAATCACCAAGCTTCAGAGAGTACATAGAGCACAATTCATTGCCTCACTAGCATTTTTTAAATGGCAATGGTCCACCTTCCTTTCTTGGTTAAGAGGGGAAAAGAAAGAAAGGAAAAAGCGTTAAGAGGGACTTCTCTGTGGAAAGATTTGGCCTTGGAGTCAAGGCTTTTAAGATGTGCCAGTGATCCTGGATCGATGCCTTTTTATTTTCTTTCAGGAATAAATCTGAGCAATGGAATGGGCTGCGATTGTCTGGCCAACCAGCCATATCAGATTTATCAGAAAGAATGAAAACTGGCTCAGAGGACTCCTGCAGTGGCTGAGTGGCAGGTTGCTGGGAAAGACACACACAAAAACAATATTCTTAGTGGTGGAAAGGAAAATATATATTAACATGTGTAAACTCAATAAATACTAAGATGCAAAGAAAGAATCTATAGTAACAGAAAGGGTGAATGCATCAGACAGATGATAAATAGTACTTCTATTTTAAAACCAAAGGGATGAAACCTCATGAATACTAAATATTCAAATCCACTTTGAGGAGGAAATATAATTTTCCATCAAATAAATGCAAACTCTAAAAATCAGCCAATGCAAACTTACTGTGTTCAGGTTAGAATAAAAAATGCATAAATCGTGCACAAAGTTCATGCTCTGGTAAATATTCTAATGTAATTTCTTAATTAAGACACATTTCTAGTGACTAAATGAAAACATATATATAAAGCAGTAAGTGCCTTGATTTTCAACAAAATTTCACTTTCTATGCATGCATAAAATAAAGGCAGTTGAGTTTAAGAGCGCGCGTGCGCGCGCGCGCGCGCACACACACACACACACACACACACACACAATACTGATATAACCAGTCATTTAATCACAACAGTACATATACTATTTCCAAGCGATCTGCAGTTATACTAACAGATATTAATTTATTTAAACATTTTGTGAAGGAAAAAATAACACCTTCTTCTAAAAAGGCTCCTTATATATATGAGAATTTCAAATTAAAAACAGTGTACCCATAGATGTGCTTACAGTAAACACTTGTAAGAAATTAATGCTTTTTTGAAAATATATTTAACACCTTTTTCACCACCTAAGTTTTACTAACATTTTTCTTCTCAAATGAAAAATAGCCCATGATTTTGGAGATATAATGATGTATCTTAAATACGTAAGAAAGCTGTATGTACTTTTAGAGAATGAAAAGCAAGACTGAGTTACCTGCAAAAAAGAAATGGGGACTAAACTTGTTCATCATTTATCTCCTAAGGTATATAAGAGTACTACCACAATACCACTGTATATTTTCTTCAATACAAAGGTAACATTGATAATTTTCCATTATACAAGGAAGACATAAATTTTAGAATCACTCCTTTGGTTAGCAAAGGCTTTATAATTGCCATATAAAGGGATTTTGGCTACAATATATCTAGATATATCTAAATAAAATGTATCATTGATAATGAGACAAAGTCCTTCAGAATTTCTCAAAAGCATCTTCTCTAAAGCTGAATTTTCTTCCAAGCAAAAGAAATAAGAAAAAAAAAAAACAAAAAAACAGGTCCTCTTCTGTTACAATTATTTTAAGACATATCTAAAAGATCTATACAACAGCATCCCCCGCCCTATATTTTTATTCTGTTCACATAGAGCAGTAAATAAGGTGCATTCCTTCTGCTTCTTAAGAAATTAGCATTTCAAAAATATGTCACTTTCCCCTGAACTCCAAGCGTGTCTAATAATGCGAGAAGCAGATTGTCTTCCCTCGTTTCCTTAATTTGTTTCATCTAAAAGCAATTCACTCAACATCTTGTCGCCCTCTGGCAGCTTAGTTTACTTATCCGCACTTAATTTCTCATTTGGACCAAAACAAACTCCTCCAAACTGCTACTGACTGCTAACCGCGAGAGGGGAGACGCGCAGTATGTATTTACTTGGGAACACACAGCCACGCATACATAGCCACAAACACACGGAGCCTCACTCACACCCCAGACAGTAACTTGCTTTTATAACAGCACTACATCAAAACCAGCTGAACTTACCCTGCCAGGTGCGGCAGGGTTGGGGTGGGGGCGGGAGCGGATGAAAAACGAAGTCTCCTGGGGCATTTACAGTTTCCAATGGATCACCTTAGTATGCGTGTTGCAATTATACCAGGGATGCACCCGAGAGCTTTTCTTTGTGCGGCCCTTTCATCTGGATCACTTTGTGTTTTGAACAAGTGAGGCTCGCCTTTGTGCCCCCAGAATTTCAAGTACAGAGTCACACATGGAACAACAATGGCACGCTAATCCTCGCGCTCTAAATGGGCTCACTTGTGGGTCTGACAATTCGCCCACGGAAACGAGAAGAGACGAGCGAGACGCGAGCTGGTGTCGCCTGAGCCGAGGAAGAGGACAGCTGCAGAACTAATTTGGATTACATTCCTTGCAGAAATTCTGAAAAGGGCTTTACGGCATAGCTCAACCCAGAGCCGCACAGTTAATACCAAATTGCTGCGGACTCGGAGCGGGGTCCCCCAATGGCAGAGGCTGAACCAGACAGCCCCCAGTAGGTCGCCTCGTAGAAATTCCTCTCGGCTAAGCCTGCATGTCGGTCGCCACTGCCTTTGAATGGGTCAATGTGCATAATCAACCCATTGACGGAAAATATGAAGGGACTCTAAGTGGGGAGAGAGATAAAAAGAGATGTATCTAAGAGGCCGCTTGGAATGTCAAGTCCGTGTTGGTGTGATTCCGGAGGTGGCTGGAGCGCGGGACCTGGTATGCATGAAGAATTTCGGAGTAATTGGGAGGGTGCAACAGACAGCACAAACGCCGCACATGTGCCATTCGAAGGTCATTTTGAAAGGCTCGACGATAGTAACTTGTTTACTGGGCAAAGGAGGAGGCGGCGGCGGCGGCGGCGGGGGCGGAGCGGGAAAACTACAGCCCGCTGTTTTCTTGGAGAGGTCAGGATACCCTCCGGGGGCCTAAAGCTCTCCCTGTCGCCACTCCCGGGGGCTTTATCACCTTAAGCTACCTCCCACGCTCCAGTCATCAGCCCCGGATGGTTTCGGAAATCTCCCTGGCTCTCCAAAAGCCACCCCTTGACCGCGTCAGACACCGGTCCTCCTCAGACCTCTCCTGTCCCACTTTCATCCCCGGGAAACTCAAGTGTCAGAAACTTTGAGCTCCCTTGCACTGCAGGTGTTGTCATTAGTCCTGCACGCCATGGCGCGCCAGCCCCGTAGCGCTGCCTCTCGGGGTCAATGAGCCCTTTGCCTGCCCGGGTACCTGGGGCTCGAGCTCTCCAGCAAGCAGTGGCCGTGCACCCAGCACCGCCGCCGCCGCCGCTCGCGCCTGGGGTGGATCCGGTGACCCGCAGGCTGGGCAGCACCACGGGGCAGTAAACAGACAAGTTTGAAGGACTCCGGCCAACAGCAAGTTGAACTACAGGAAGAACTCTTCCCGGAGCCAAACACGGCAACCGACGGGAAGGCCGGGCTTCTGGCTCGAGTGTGCCAACCCTTTTTTTTTTTTTTTTTTCCCTTTTTTTTTTTCTTTCTTTTTTTTTTTTTTAAGATCAGGCAGGCCAGCAAGCGCCCCTGAAGTCATTGGGACAAGGGCTCCAGGAAGCTGGCCGAGGAGGCCCGGCGCTCCGGGCCCCGGGCCGAGGAGCGCCAGCCAGCTGCACTCCGGCTGCCCAGGCTGGACGCTAGTCGCGTCTGACCTCACAAGGCTCGGGTGACTGGGGCGCAGAGGCCGCCGGCAGCACACACAGGTGCGCAGCCCGACTCTCGGAGCGCCACTCTCCACCGCCCTTCAGGCTGGGTTCGGGAGAGGCCCAGCCAGCACCCTGGGACCCCAGCCCTTCCGCGGCCCCGGCGGAGCGGCTTCTTCTCTCGAGAGCCCATAGTGGGACCGGAGAGTCTCCTCTGACGGGATTTGAGTCTCCCATGTCCCGAACAACAGGCGCCACCAGAAGGGATCCCGCTTAGGCTCCCACACAAAACGCTCGGGAGAGAAACATAGGGGGTTACGGAGACAAAAAAAAAGGGGGGGGGGACAGGGGCTCAGATTTTTTACGGTAAACAAAGCCCGCGCACACATACAGGGTAAGTTTCGAGTGGAAAGAGGGACGACCGAGAGCCCCCGGAAGAGGTCCCGGTCAAGCGGTCGCTCCACGCCTCCCGGGATGGGCGAAGAGGGCAGGGGAGCCACTCGAGGCAGCCCCGCCGGCGGCGACAGGTTTGGCAACCGGAGCGCCAGAAGGAACCCACCTGACTGAGAAGCGCTGGGCTGGACGGTCCCCGCCACCACGAGAAGGCTCACCCAGACCCAAAGTCCTGTCGCCGGCTTCATTTTTTGGAAGTCTCAGATCCCGTGCTGACAGTTACATGTCCAAATGGCATATCCCCCTTTCGGGCACGCGGAGGAGATCCCACAGCCGGGCGCGCGTGAGGGCGCGAGGGGGGCGGGCGCGGCGCGCGCGGTGTAGCGACTCCCAGGGCGGGCGACCGAGTCCGCGCCGGCAGGTCCAGGTCCGGAGCCCGAGGAGGGGGCGTGTGTGCGCGTGTGGGAGTGTGCACGGTGTGTGCGCGTGGCGCTCCGGGCCGGACTGTGCAGCTATTTCCCCGCGTGAGCCTTCGCTTGCTCGCTCCCTCCTCACTTTCTCTCTCTCTCACTGGTTGGTCAACAATAAAAAAGGAAGGGGGGGAGAAAGGTTTCCAAAAAAAGTTGATTGCAAAGAGGCGGTAGGTTTCCGGCCTCTCCCAGCAGCAGGGCTATGTTGGGCTCCTTCTTCAGTTTCCTTGTACCTTCAGTCCAAATCGGGAGGGGAGCGGGGCGGGGGGAGCTTCTCGCTTCTCCCCAGATCCTGTCCGTTTTCCTGTCAGCGTTCCTCACACTTGTCCGGCGGCTGCAGTAATTAAAGCTCCGAGCGTCATTTCCAACGCTCCGCGGTCTCCAGCTGCAGCCCCACAGAGAAATTAATAAGACTCCAGAANAAAAAAAAAAAAAAAAAAAAAGGTGGGGGGCGGTGGGAATAAAACAACCCTCCCCGCAACCAGGCAGGCTCTGCTCAGCCGCGCAAACCCCGCCCATGCTCTGACCCAAGTAGCCACGCCCTTCCCCCCCAAAGGGAAATCTTATTGGCTCAGCCACTCCCCAAAATCCTAAGGCCTCCGGAGTTGGGAAAACACCTGTCAGGGAGAGGGAACCGCGTGGTGGGGGCAGGGGAAGCTGGATTTAAAGGGCTCACCCGAAGCCACGCACTGAAGCACTCCTCTTCCAGCCCTGGCAGAGGCCGGAGACAGCTGGCCTGCAGAGTGAACAGACCATCGGAGGGGCGCTTACGGAAAATTTTTGTTTTTTTAAACAAGAAAGTCAGCATTTTTTCCATTGCTCCACAGTTCTCCTCTACAGACAGGACTTTCCCTAGAAATAAAAGGAAACTCAATGTTGCTTTCAGCAAAAACCTTCCTCCTACAGCACTCTGCCACTCATGGTCCACAATTAGAAAGTACTTTAAAAGTGTGATCAGTAAGTAACTGGTAGCCCCTGCGGATTAGGTAGTTGTGGGAGTATAATCACCAATCACCGCCCTGGCTCCCGCCCCAGTTATGCCATCTCTCCGGTTCTTCCCACATTTCCAAACTGACCAACATTGAGCCAAACTAAAATTTCACAATTATAAACCCATATCCTTTTATTTTTAGATTTTGTGGGTTTTTCACCTTTGGAGTTCATTCTTATTAAGCAGATTCTTGTCCAAAGCCACTGATTTGATCCTAAAAGGCTAGAAATTGTCTCAAGCCTGAGAGAATTTAAGGAGGCCACATCATAACATTATTAACCTTAAAGGATTCTGTTTATTCTATAGTAGACCTAGCTTTAGGCCTCTTCCTTGTCCTCATTCTGCATTCAGGCTCCCCAATCCTGAGGTCATTGCTAGTTATGAGAGTCTCTGACCTTTTCTGAATCTAAAATATTCTGGGACTGGGTCATATCAATGTACATATCCCTTGCCTTTTACAGCTCTGAAACTGCACCCTGGCAAGGGCCAGAATCTCCTGGGGGTAGTAGGTTATTGGATTGCTATTTGTACAGGCATTCTATGTATGAATTACTTTCCTTTTTTGGTTTTTCTAGAAGCAGCAAATATATAAATAAAAAGTATCAGGGGAGCTTAAAAATCAAACCACCCTGCTTTTCATTACAGACCTTGATCTCTGTTTCCCACTCTCTTATCTATAGCCCCATCCGTCAAGAATTTCCATGGAGCTGGGAACAGATAGTAGTACAGATGCCTGAAGCTTTCCCTTTCTTAGACCCACAGCAAATAACAGGCTCCATGAAGACGCCAAACAAGCTGAGCATGCGGTTTTACCAGAATCAGTCTAGGGCAGGGAGGAACTAAGCCTAGAGCAGATGATGGTAACTTGACCAAAATGGTACTGATTGCAGCAGAACTGTGCACACTGCTCTTTGGGATTATCTTTGTTTTGTTTTCTTTCTTTTTATTAACATTCCTCTGTTTTCTCCTCTTTCCTTCAATCTCTTCTCATTTCCCTTACTTTAAATCCTTTTGAAATTCTCAGGCACCTCTCTCCCATAAAAGCTACGTCTTTTCAAAACTTACTTTCTGTCCCTAGAATGACAATTTAAATGAGAAAACCAAACATCTTGCTTTTGGAAAAGTTTAAGTCTCTGTGTGAAAAAAA